ATATATATATATATATATTCTTCCTTTTAATAATCCAATTTGGTTGAATGCACGGATTGATATGCTGTCTACATTGAGGGAGGAAATAAAGAAAAAATATTGATGCATTTAATTAATATGAGCGAAGAAAGTAAAAATATAGTCAATCTATAATGTAGAAATATAATTTGAACTTAGCTTATGTTAGGTGGAAATATGATTATTCAAATTGGATATAAAATCGGAGTCGATCAATATCTTGCTCGTGAGAGTATCATCATTAGGGCAAATCTGATAAGACCTCTTCGATACTTAAGCTAACTTAGAGATTGAGATGTTGGTAAAGCATCAAGAATAATGAGCTACAAATATTAATAGAATAAGAACTCTTTTTGGAAATGCACATCAAAAGGATTTTTATAGGGTGGTTTTTCGAATATTACAATGTGTATTAATGTCGGAAATAGTCTTACGTATTCCTTTATCCAAGTAGAGTTGTGCTATGTAAAGTCCAGGAAACGTGCGAGAGGCATGATGTATTTTGAATTATGATCACATCTATCATATTCGACGAGGGTGCTATAGTTGTGACACTAAGATGTCAGTCATGTAATACTTAAATATTAACCATATCACTATTTTCCTAACAGATTATACTAGTGAAATTATTGATTTTTGGTATCACTTTCCAATGTTATCAACATGAACTCTTTTGATCTATTATGATTTTGTAATTGAAAAAATACATATAAGATATAAATTATTTGAAGTGGAGAATAATGCAAAATATCATAAGAATAGATCAGAAATGGTGAACCGTGGGCTCTTCAATTGGGCCGGGAATTATGGGCTGCAATTAATCGTAGTAATTAGGTGAATTAGATAGATATATTATTGTTCTAATGGTAATGCTAAGTATATTTGATGCAGCGATCAATTGGATCATAAGACCACATCACAGGTTGGATTGTGTGACGTCCAAATCCATATCCACGTCCCGCTTAATCTAAGATAACATATGGATTGGAGCTCTGTTCTTTGTGCCCTGTTTAGCCTTCCTTCCTTCCTTCCACACTAAGCAGCTACATCTCAAGCCATCCAACTCCATCGAATGGTGCCATCAATTTTCATCCTCAATTTGGAGTGACGAAATCGATTTGATTCACTTTTCGAGTATTATCATTTACCTCAAAGTCAAAAAGAATGTTTTTATATCTCGTTTTAATTATATCATCAATTTCAAAATATGAAGTATTTTGATAAGTAGCACTGACGTGAAAGGTTTTTATCAGTTGGTACGTTCACAGTACACTTTTACGGATGAAGGTGGGATTGATCAGAAGATTAGGCCGTGTGTTGGATTGTTGCAGTTTCTTTTGATCCCCCCAAGTGGAGGACTTGTTCTTCTCTAGCCGCCATCAGATAGATCTCAAAGCCGCTCGTAATAAACAATAAGCTTCTTTCTCAAAAGTGGCCTTCTGCTCCGTCAATCGGCCAAAATAATAATACCGCAACTGACCATTTCTTGGAGAATGAGATGCTGCTTTGCAGATGGCATGATGGGAGAGGAAGACACTGATATCATGTCCAGAAGAAAGGATAATAACAGTGGCTGGAAAGGTGTGCGTCCGATTCAGATGACCAAATAGCTGAGTGCCGCCCTTGTACTTAAGTAATATATATTGCTTTCTCCGATTCTGAGCTCTCTCTCTCTCTCTCTCTCTCTGCTCCAACAAAGATAAACTACGCAAGTGGAGGAATGGATGTCGTCTACAGTTCTCCCTCGAACTTTGGATGAAGGTTAGACAAGCGAGTCCTCTCCTTAGTCAAGCGAGGGACATCAATATATGCTGACAACGGCGGTACAGATCTGCCAGTGTCCTCATCGGACCAAAAGTGTTATTTATTTTCACCTCTATTCGATTATGAGGACCAAAAGTGTCCTCATCTGCCAGGTCCCTGTCAAGCACTTGTGGTATTCCAATGGAGTGCAAGAGCTGATAGGAATCTGTTGTTTAAGCATTCCTAATCCTCTTCAAATCAACAGAAGAAGGAGGGATGTTACTCTCTCTCTCTCTCTCTCTCTCTCTCTCTCTCTCTCTCTCTCTGCAAATTCTCACAGAGGCATTCAACTTACGTTGCTAGAGTTAGAGAGCCTATAGGCGTATAGAAGTGGCTCCACCATCATGATTCTAATCATAGGCGAAGAGGTTTCACGAATGGGTATGAACACGATCGAGTTTCACGTCAGGATCAGCTTCTGTTCAATGTACAAACCTTTCGAGGCTAAGGAAGTTATGAACGCACAACCTAATCTTGGAAGTTTAGCGACTACGAAGGCAAAGAGAAGTTACTGTATAGTGTCGGCCGCGTCAGAGCTCATAGCAACAACTCTCTGAGCCCACTGACCCTTGACTCCGTGATGTTGGCAGCGATCAGAAGTAGTATACCACGATCTGACTTCGCTTGGAAAGGCAAGCATGGAATGCAGGTGCTGTGTTCTCTCACAGCATCAAATGGTAAAGACCACTCGTCATGTCTACCGAGGAACATGTAGTAGGTCATACCAGATCATGGATCTCTCACAGAACTAGTGTGAAGGGGGTCGCGCTGCGGTCGACGGTGACCTCTAAACATAGCGGATGCTCCATAACAAGTACAGTGGTGAAGACATCATAGGACTGCAGACTACGAGTTGAGGGTGTTCCGCCTCCATCCTGACCGCGTCAAGCGTACCAGCGAGAGAGCTATAAGAGCGTTCCCAAGCCGTAGCGAACAGCAACTGGAACGAGAAAGATGAGGCAGTGGGGGCAGCTGTACATCACAGCCGGCCGAATAGAATACTCCCCCGAAGTGGACATGAATCCGTGTTAGTTTCTTCCCCCCCCCCAGCTTTCCTTCATTCCGGACGTTCTACGATGCCCTTCCCTTGACCTTGTCGGTCGGCCACTCTACAAAATCCCACCCTCTTCCTTCACCTCCATCCCTGGCTCTCGCCACAGCCAACCACTCTTCGGCAAAACCAATACAGAAATCCCTGATGGCAGAAGGTCGCAACAAGGACTCGAAGCCCTCGAGCGACGAAACCGGTTCTGCAGAGCCGCGGATGGACGACAGTGGTGGAACCAGACGGCCATACTACGAGTGCACCTTCTGCAAGCGGGGTTTCTCCAACGCGCAAGCTTTAGGAGGGCACATGAACCTCCACCGCAAACACCGAACCAGGGAACGGCAGTCGCCGGCAACGCCTTCGGTAATGGAGAGGACCGAGGACGATTATGCTGGCAACAATAGTGCCTTCTGCCCTCACCCTTACGAGCCATTCAGGGGTTACACGTACTTCCCATCATCATCGTTGTCATACAATGGCAGTGACGTGAGGATGGGCACGGACAGTGGCTTACAAGCGCCATACGAGATGAGCCTCTTCGGCGGGGAGTTACGCATGGGCTCGAGCACACATGTCGATGGCCCCGTCGCCGTAGCCGGAGAAGGAAGGAGGCAAGAGGTGGAAGACGCCGAACTGGACCTGGAGCTGAGGCTCGGTCATCAACCATAGCAGAAGTCAGTCCCATATAGACAGACGTATACACATATACAGTTGCTTATATACTTTTATTGTGCTGTTTGCGTCATTATATTTGCTACAAGCAGTTGCCTGTGGGTCTTAATGATGAAACAAATCATACACTGTGGCAGCATGAGATACGACTACTTTGGTGTTCATCATCTGAAATGTTTTGAGGTGGCATTCATGATTTGGAAGGACTGATCAAAACCAAGGGTTTCTCTTGGTTGTCCTTCATGTTGTTACGTCACTACAAGACGCAATGCAATCTGTGGTCTTGTTTTTGCTCGTTGCCATGCATGACAGGTGCTTCTGAGAGCGCCTCAGCTCCCCGTGTATCACGCCGAAGCCCCATGTGAAGATAGAAATGTGCTAAATCATCATCAACATCGATCGCATTCTGCATGGGAATGAATCATTGTTCTTCTTCTCTTCCTCTACTGAAGAATGACTGATATGGCCACCATGGACAAGTTGGGAGCTAAAGAGACTTCCTAGCCGTGTTAAGATGTGTTAAAAGGCCAAAACGTGCATCAATGTGATGAGATGAAATCTTCTACACAGAAAAGGAAATGATGACCTAATTCGCTGGTTATTATTAGTTCAACAGGCCTCTTTGCTTTGCTTTACTGAGATGTAATGATCTCCTCTGGCTTTTATTACAATGTCATGTCCGGAGAGGGGGATTCCCAATCAACTTAAGTCTTCTCTTTCTCCTCGGATTGACACCTCTCTCCCTTGTTATGGAAACGGCCATCATGTCGTCCCTGCGTCACCCAACCCCGTCATGTAGAATCATCAACGAGAGAACGACACAACATTTGCAAGAGTCGACGAGTGGGAAATCTTAAGTATGTGAAAAGCCATTTGATGGTTTCGTCTTCTTGTAGAACGCATAGTTGTGTACGTCTTGGTATTGTTTGGAGAAGCTTTTGTCCATCGACTGGTCCAAATGTCACATTGTCCGAACTGAGGTTCTTTTGTTTTCTTTTCTCCGGAAGGAAGAACATGATCAATGTGATTTATATCATAAGGAGAAAATGCATACGATTTATATCATCGATCATCTTTATGAGTATGACGAAAGCAAGTATATCATTGGAATCTAGCTTCCACTCGTATATGATCATTCCATCTTCCTTCCAATGTACTAAAAGGTTCTTCACTTAAATAGAAACGCCACAAGTAGATACTGAGTCAACACAGTTCCTCTAAGTACAATAGACACAAAGCAAAGTAAATAAGATAAACTGAGATCAAGACCTAGACATGCATTAGTAAGTATACCCGAGTCGAAGCTCTAGATCAAGATCATCCACATAGCCATAGTCTCCAGATACTCCTATCTCCAAGTCCAGGCTCACTACTTTGCTGCCTTCTTCATCGAGATCCTTGAACTCTTCAATTCCAGACAACGCCTTCCCTGTTTCCATGATCTTCAAACCTTCCCCTGTTGATGTAGAAGCTGATGAGGGAGATAGATGGATCAGAGGAGAAAGCTCAGAGGGAAGCTCGCAGGTCATCGGAGTGTGCCTACGATTTCCGGTAGCACTTGAAGGTGGAGGCATGTTAAGATTGGGGATAGGGGTACTGCCAAGATTAGGGTTAGGGTTTGTGTTGAGAAGTGAGGGACCCGACGGTGGGGACTCCCTGAGCCTAGCTTTATCCCTTCTGTGGACATTCATATGACCCCCAAGAGCCTGAGCTGACCTGAACTCTCTCCTGCAGAAGCTGCAGGAATATGACCTTTGGGGCCATGAGAAGCCTCCCAGAGAGCCACCGGAAAGGGGGGCCCCTCCTCTGCCGTAATGGCTGCAGCTCATCCATGTCTCCTTCCCCTTGCTGTTGTGGTTGTTGCTGTTGTCGTCGTCTCTAGTGCTTCTAACATATCTTTCCATTCTTCGTACACAAAGACCACAAAAACTCCAAGCCTTCCAGAACCAGCTCTCTTAACACTGCGACTACGACAACAGCAGGAACAAGAAGAGGCCTTCATCAACCAGCTCTCCTAATGACTTCCGAAGTGGGACACATATGCTAAGAGAAGGCAAGTACACAGTACTTACTCACCTGAGGGCAGTGTAATCATGATATAGAGTCGGGTCTCTGTCACTCTCCTCGGCCTCCGCTGTGACATTGGTGTTACCTTTAGGTTGAAATTGTTGCGATTATTATTTCATCTGACATGAGAGTAATGGGGCTGCAGAAGTGCCCATCAAATTCTAACCCCGAAACTGATAATCCCATTCGCGGTACCACCTGCAAGTGTCTGCTACTGTAAATGGTCAACCTTTCGCAGATACGGCTCCCCTCCATCTGCCACCTTATACGCTTTGCTACTTCTGTGAGCGCCATGTTCTAACTCTTTCCATGACTTCTCTGGCCTCTGCACGTGAGAGGAATGGGCATCGGGAGAGGGTGAGGGGATGAAGTTTTGGAGCTTCTTCTACGGAAGCGAATTATATCGGTATTCAAGTGTGCCAACAGGCTCGTCGGAGCTCGCATGCAGGTGTCAATTCGAGATGGACGAGCTGTGTCCGTGATCCCTCTGGGCGTGGCCATGCTACATGATGGGATGACGTGGCATCCATCAATTGGAAGTCGATAGTACCGGGACCCGCAATCCAATCAATGCTCGAGCACAGGGATGTCGGTGTCACTGCAGCGTGCGTGGGTATCAGAGCGTAAGGTTTTGAGTTTGAATCTCCGAGCCATCTAATTTCCATTCTCATTAAGCATTTGCTTCTCTATCTCATTAACTACAAACGCTGTGTGCTTTAAGAAGTCTCAGACGTGGTTGCGAAGCCCATATGTGGTTGGAAAAGAAGAAGAAGAGAGGAAACGAGTCATTCACTCATCAACATCACTACAGTCCGAATTGGTCAAGATCAGCAAAGGTTGCCAGCATCACTAGAACCTGTGACTTCGTAGGGCAAGGTCGACAGCAACCTATCCCTAGAATTGATCCAGGAAGGACCAAAGGATCCCTCAGCAGAAACCCTGAGCTTCAGATTTGGGAGGCAGAGATGCCCAAGTACATGCACCCTTCGTTTGCTAGATCCATGTCTGTTTCGATTAGGATGGAAGGATGAAACTGCAGATGTTACCCAGCACAGATTAGCTTTGCTTCTCGGTCACTCCATCCCAAAGTACTGCATCTCATAGCAATCTTTTGTACCCCTCAGGCCGAAGTCCTCCAAAAACCAGAATGAGATTGGAACAAGAGTGATGGGAAATCTAACAACCATGTTTCTTTTGAGTTCTTTAGTCGATGGAGTGGGGGTGGGGAATCTGGTCTAGATGGAACGTGTGGACCTCGGCTGAGCCCCCCCTACCCCCCCAACCCACACGATTGGTTAAGGTGTCATTTCAACGTCGTAGGCAATCTATCAGTCTTTTCAGCACACACACACTGCCATCGATGAATCTTCCAATTCATTCCCCTGAGACACATTTCACATGCTTCTCTTCCAGCTGACGGCAACGCCTGTGGTTGGTGGTAGAGAAGCTGTGTGGTCTTTTGTGTCACGAAAAGACCTACAAATTAGTGAATCCACTCACTCAGTATATATGCCAGTCTGAGCATGACAAATTGCTACGAAAGACCGACTGCCATCTTTTTACAAAGATGGGTCGACCATTTCATTCGAATGTAAAGTTCTTATGAGTAATACATAACGACGGAGAGAACAGCAGCCGTGAGCTACAAAGGATTTCTTTTTCCAAAATAGAGAATCGAGTGAGTAGCCTGTGGAGATCAGAGAACATATTTTTGTGATACATGATAGAAATAATAGAAGATAAGAACAATATAATATAAGAAGCTTTATTGAAGTAGATAAACTTTAGCTTGAATACATTAACATGTTCCTCTCCTATTTATAGGATTAAGAGGGAGGATTTTCCTCAACAGAATAGATAAGATTTCCTTATATAG